ATTTATCGAGCTCAGAAAAGTTATCAAGTCCATTTTTATTTATCGTACGAAAAGTCAATTTATCGATTATCGCGACAGGCCTAACTGCAAGTGTGAAACGCAGAGAAAAATCCTACTGCTGGTGACTAAGGCTTTATTTTCCCACTGGCAACATTGGAAAAAAATAACCTTTCCAATTTTCATTTCCAACACTTTTTTACACTAAACACTCACAAAAACCACCTGTCACAAAAGAGATTCATACTGAAAAGCATTTCTTATATTATGAAACGGACAATACTACATCATATACAAAAGTGCAAGAGCCCTCTGAACGTAGCCCTCTGAACGTAGCCCTCTGAACGTAGCCCTCCGTGAAGGCTTTTCCTGTGTAAAAAAATCTCCACCATGTTCAGCTTAAAGATGACATGGTTTCTTCTTTGCTTCATCCTTCCAAGTTTCATCAATCCTGCTGACAAAAAAAGAACCACAAGCAAAACAATAAGGAGTAGTGTTTCAATTAGTTTACCCTTTGCAATTTTTAAACGATAATAACAATTAAAAAAAGTATGTTTTGTGCTGTATTAAGACGTGAAATGTGAACATGGAGCTCAGAACAGTCACCATCAAACCATGCTAGTCTTTCTCTGTTGATGTTGTAGCTGTTATATCATGAGCGGACACGATGGGTTTCATTTGTCCCCGCTGTGGTGTGACTCGCACGGAAAGCCTTTTGTGCTAACCTGAGCTAATTATGCTAGCGACGTTCCACTAAAAGTGTTTAGGGCACAAGTTTTACTTTGAGCTTTAGTTCCCCATCACTTTCGTTTTTTGTTGCAGGACAAGTTTGAACATGTTTTCTTTCCAGAAAAGATTCAAATGAAATCCACAGTGACTGACCTCTTATATCCTCCTCTGTCCTGTTTCATCACACACACACACACACACACACACACACACACACACACACACACACACACACACACACACACACACACACACACACACACACACACACACACACACACACACACACACACACAGCTCCCAGAGTCCTCTGTCCTTCTGTCCCCTTGTTGATGCTGCATTATATTGTCTATCTGTCTGAGTAAATAACAACTGTCTGATGAACTGAGCGACACTTACAACCTGAGCTTCCCCTCCTCTCTCTCTTGCTGTGCGTTGTGGGTGTGGTCTTCTTCAGAGTTTTGAAATCTTATCGGTATGTACAGCTAATCAGAGATCAGCCTGCAGCCGTGATGTAGTCTTGTTGTCACGTCAACCACCAACTTTTCTTTCCCAATTTTGATCTTCTTTGGTTTCAGCTCCTTGTTTGTTTATTTCATTATCTCCATTCTGCATGCGTTTCTACCCAAGGTGTTGTCTCAGTGCAGTATTTTTACGTTTAGGGTTGCCTCCTTGTGTGCTTTGGGTCATCGATCTTAAGATTGCGAGTTAAGACTCAAACGGGCAATTTGAATGTGTAACTAAGTCCACTACGCACTAAACTCAAAATACGGTTTACTCAAAACGTTTTTTTTATCAGAACACTATACATACAGCAAGCATTAAATCATAAGAAAAGTGAAATATTCCTACAACAATTATTCATATTTGTTTATATACTTATATCTTAAGTAGGAAGGCATTTTTACTTGTACTAACTTGAATTAAATAGAAAAATGTAATGTGCACGGAACATGTTATTTCATTAAATGCAATCAGTGTTTAATAATGTATCATATCGATAGCCTTCTTTTATAGGTTAACTTCATTTGAGTTTTTCAAAAACAAAACTGGGATGTAGACACCTGAATAAACACACATATATTTCCTGGCTGATGTACAGTGTGTGGCAAACCTGTTATTACTTAAACATCCAAAGCCTGACGTTGAGCTCAAAAGTATAGGCATCAAAATACCAAAAGTAATATTATTCGTAATACAGATTGGCCCATTTCAGAATAATGTACAATATGTGTTTTGATTATAATTTTGTATGTGTTTAATCACAGCTGGTAAAGGTGCAGCTAGTTTGAATGACTTTGTATACTGCAGGGTAGCTTGTGAATTTACTCCAGGTGGAACTAAAGTCTGATTTAACACTTGATTATATTTCACATCATTACTCTTAAGTCTGCAAAGTAACTTAAGGTATTACATCAATAAAGTGGAGTAAAAGTATGTAATTGACCTCTGAATTATAGTGGGGGTGCAGTACAAAGTAGTACAATTTCCTGAAACGTGTACTTGAGTAAATGTGCTTAGTTACTTTACATAACTCTATGAATTAAAAAGTAAAGAAAAGATGGTATTGCGCTTGAAAATGTAAAGATAACCAGAGCCATTCAATTGGGAACATATTGTCATTAGCACCATGACCGCTTGTTTTGTTTTTTATATGAACACATGCTCATCAATGATGTGGCACCTAAAGTATAAGAATATAAATGGATGTCTGTGTGCGTTGATTGAGGCCTCATCAAGATTATTGGTGGTTCTCCGAGACGAAGCAAGACCGACGGCTGTTAATTTTGGTCCAATCAGAGTCCAAATGAGTTTGTAGGCATGCCTACTGTTTCCTGGCTCTGTAACTAAATGATAAACAGAGGATTGTCGCAAAACAATCCAAACTTTCTCCATTTGCTGTACATTTTGAAGCTTGTCCCACATACTATTCACAGTTCCTCATTTCAACACGTCCATCCTTTTTGTTTTAGTGCGCTCTGTCAGTCAGTTGAGCATGCATCACTGTTCACGTCTCACTCTGTTCTGTGTGTTTCTGTGGGGAAGGTGGGTGCTTTGATTCCCCTCACATGGTATTGATGTTCATCTGTGTGTCTGTGTGTTCCAGTGATGAAGAGAAGAGTGCTTCTCCAGAGAAATACTCAGTAGGGGAGTGTGTGGATTCGGAGAGAACGGGTGTCAACAGCTCAGCCGCAGCCAGCTGTCCCAAAACAGGGTCAGAACCAACACTACATGCTCCCTAAACATGAGTTTTCAGTGTCTAACAAAGTTTGATGCTGTCACACCTTATATTCCCTGTAACTGTATCCATCATATTGACACCCTAATTCAGCTAGCAGCATTGTTCAGTCCATTTTAAAACATGATTGGAAATCAAATAAAAGCACAATCAAAGTAGAACAATTAATTGGGAAGTGCAATATTGTAGGAAAGCACGTAGTAGGTAGAAAAGCAAAAAGTGCTTAAATGTTAAGTTATTTTATGTACTTGTGATCATTGATCTGCATCAATGCTTCAGTTTTTTTTAGTGAAATGATTCATAGATTATGAACAAAACATTGTAAAGGTCCAAACTCCACACATAAGGACACAGGCTTTGTCCACAGAAACACAGCACCTACAGCAGAGTTGGCCATCGCAATAAAAAAAATCTTAAATTTGCATCATTTAGTAAAAGTCCTGTAATTAGTTGTTTTGTAGATCCTGTGACATTCAAGCGGGCATGTTCTATATTAAGAGTTTAAGAGCAGCTCCTGCATCTCGTTTTAATAAATCTATTTGGACTGCTTTTGATATGGTTCTATCACTAGGTATATGACTGGACTAAAATCATGTTATATGATTCTTAACTTTTCGCTCTCCTCCTGTGTTCCCTGTAAGCAGTGAGAAGCTACCCAACGGTCCTCTGGAGGAAATGTCGGCCAGCGAGGAGGCCAAGTAAGTCTGACTGCTTTCTACTGTCTGTACCATTCTAACAAGGAACCACTCAAAAGTACTTGCAAGGATTCATTTATAAATAAGATTTAAATCATGATTAAACTTTAAATCATGATGCATCACACTTTATAACTAGCTTAAAATACAAAATGTAAACCTCTTTTTCAACGTGTTACATTTTACATGTTGATCCTTTGAACCAGGGGTGGGGAACCTTTTTCCTCTAAAGGGCCATTTCAAGTTTTACAGCATCCTCCGAGGGCCGTACAAATTATTGAACTCAACCTCTGCTAAAAGAAAACTAAAATCACAGCGCATTGATTTTGCCTTTTTTTCATGCTGTGCAAAGAAAAAGCAACCTCTTAATCCAGATATCTTTCTGTTTTCATTGTTTTTATGTTATGCTTTGGAGGGAGTGTAAAAGGCGTAAGGACCAAAATGCAGACACTCATAGCAGGTACCTTGAATTCCAGGAATTGAATGAAAACTTAAATGCAACAAACTGAGGAACACTGGATACTAAACTGCACGATGAGTGAACACAACAGAAACACAACACAACAGAAACACAACACAACACAACACAGCAGAACCAGGTGAACATCACAGACGAATCTGACATAAAGTGAAATGTTTGCCAGTTCAAAACACTGTCATTTAAAAAAAAAAAAAAAGTGACACCGACGGTGTCGTTTAATATTGAAGACGTGAGATATACCACGTGATGACACGTTATGCTCGTGTTGTGTTCAAGGAACCTCACCTTGGCCAGGAAAAATTTAATTCTATTGCGGTCTAGATTTCTTAATTTTTTTTATTGCAGTTGATTTCTTTTTTGTGTTTATACATTAATATATAAACACACAAATGGTCTCGCGGACCGTATACGGCCCGGAGGTTTCCCACCCCTGCTTTAAACTCTAATTTAAAATGTGATCCGGTATTGACTTAAAACTCAACATTTTGGAGGTTAAACTTAAAATATTGCTTTTTAGATCTCACAAAATAAATTCCTTGAACAAAGTTTAAGATATACTCAACCAAATTGAGTATTATTTAACTTTTTGATACCATAGCTTTATCAACAACTAATAATTATAACAAAATCTGGAGTCGCATTGCTTTTATCTGTGTAAATATCCTTTTCTTTTTTAAATCGGATGTTTATGAGCTGCTGGGGTTTTGCAACAGTTGCTGTAAATATACAAAAAAATAGCTGGTTCGTCAGGATCGATGCAGACTCCCTGTTGGAGGGTTTCACAACTCCTACTTCCACTAGTTGGTTTGGAAAAAGAGCTTAAAGAGGCTAAGGGTTTAGACATCTCTGAGCGGTTGACCAATCACAACAGAGCCGGCCAGCTAACCAATCAGAGCAGACTGGGCTGGTTTCAGACAGAGGGTGAAAATAGGTGCTGCAGCACAGGCAGTATGAGACAAATAAAGAGCTTTTTGAACATTTAAAGCATGGAGACATGTCCCAGTAGAGACACTACATACACATATGAAGCTGGAAATGAACAGAATAGGGCCCCTTTAATGTGGGAAGTGAAAGGGTGTAGGGACCAGATTGGAAGTGTACTTTTTAAGCTTTTGTCTGTTATCCGTTTTGTTTGAAACGTCCACCCACAAAATCTACCTCCTGGTACAAATATACAGTGCATCTGGAAATTATTCATACACCTTCACTTGTTCCACATTTTGTTATGTTAAAGCCTTATTTCAAAATGGATTAAATAGATTTCTTTTCTCAACATTCTACACACAATACCCCATAATGACAATGTTTTAAAAAAATATTTGCAAATTAATTAAAGGTCCCATGTCATGCTTTTCTGGTTATTACCTGTCCCCTTGTGTGTTATGAAGCTTTTTCTGCATGTAAACGGTCTGCAGAGTCACAAACCCTCAAAGTTCACCCTGTAGCGAGTAAAACTCTAACACAGAAAAGACCTGTCTATGCTGCCCCAGAACGCCTCGTTGGAGATTTCTAATTTTCCATTGTTTTCTTCCTGGGTCTGTGACGTGTGAATACCCAGGTCCAAATGGACCAATCTGCGGAGCTCCTCACACACACACACACACACACACACACACTCAGCCTTATCTTTTTTCTCAGCTGCGCTACTTCGCGAAGTTTCGCTGGCACGCACCTTATCTTTTCTCAGCCTCGGCTCCGTGGACACTCACGTGTGTGTGCTCAGGCTGAGTTCCGTGGTGTCTCGCTGTCTCGCAGACCCCACGCAGCAACCAGGAAACTACACCAGTAATCCACCTCACACTGTCTGCTCCTCGAGCCCCACAGGGCGGAGCAGCGAGCCCAGCAATGTCCCGCCAACACGGCACCCAGACCCCACGCAGCATTCTCATCTGTTTGTCATTACTGGTGTCATTTTCTGGTTACTAACAAACGGCATTGTATAGACCCTCCAGAAAGACGTGGGCAAAAATCCTTGATTATGCGGGCTAAATTCCTTGATTATGCGATTAAACATGCGGGGTTTTTATGTGACTTTATGCGGTGAAATTGCGGGAAGTTGCGAAAAGAATAGATTTTTTTTAAT